TCCCATTTATTATTGAGATACTTCCCATATACAAGTGAATGCTAACTAAATATTATAACCATAAAACATATTGATTTAAAACTGTGTACAGTCTTTAGCCAGCCTTAGAGGGTCACTGTAACATTTCTTAAATGTTTAATACATGTACTGTTTTAGAAAATGATATACACTACAAATATATAAATGATATGTTATGAAACAGCAATATTTATGACTTCAAATAGAGTCCCTTATGACGTGCTACTGTGACAAGTTTAAGTAAACAGATGATAGCTGGAATCAACACTAGAAGATTCAGGGTTCTCTTTCATTTCAGTCTGCCCCTCCCTCACAAAAATGTAAATAATCTCAACCAGAAGCAAAGGCTGTTGCAGGTACTTGTTAGATTACTGTTCTCTATGAGATGGAAGTCTGAGTATTTACTTAGTGAATATAGTCCAACATTTGTAAATCAGGGAACGGAGCTAATTGCAGAGATCAGGTAGTTCCTAGGCATAATACAAGAGTAAAAGAGTCACCCAGTGGATCAGTGGGAGACTCCTGGGGTGACCTTTCCCAGCCTTGGCCTCAGGATCAAGCCAGAATGTAAACGCATGAACTGTTTTGCTCCATAATGACTAACAAAGATGTTTTCTTCATAGTTCTTAAGCAGCGTTTTGTAAGTTTGTGAAATGGTCTTAAGTTCAGTTGTAAAAGATGAGATATCTGCATTCATTTAATATTTAATTTTAAACATTATTTTTAAAATTTAAATTATAGCTGTAAACATTATTTGTATTCACCCTACAATCATTTGCAAAAAAATGCTTTCTTTCAACTCGCGTCTAGCCTGGAAGATGGCCCGTATCTTGATATGAACAATCTGGCCACCTAGATCCACACATAGTGACATCAAGACTAGACTACTGTAATACACTCTACATAGGTCTCCCCGCAAAGTCAATTAGGAGACCCCAGTTGGTACAGAATGCCACAGCTTGGGTATTATTGGGAGCCAGATGGAGCATTAGTATTTCTCCCATTGGTTGCTCAGTTATTGGGCTCAATTTAGGGTACTCGCTATCACATACAAAAATCTTTATGGCCTTATTCCCTCATAACTTTGGGACTGCCTCCTCCCTCTGTGGTCCACAACAGCTTTGCTCACCTGGTCAGGGCCTTCTGTGGGAGCCACCCTGCAACTGGGCAAAATAAGTATCTGCCCATATATGTGCATGTTCTGTTGTGGTCCCTGTTGAGGTCAGGAAGGCTACCACTCTCCTGGCTTCTGCAAGCTATGCAAAACTGAATTGTTCAAGAGAGATCTTTGCACACAAAATAGGGCTGTGCTGTAACAAAATGGTTCAGAAAGAAGCTTGGGGTTAGCAATCGTAGACTATACCTCTGTGTATTATCTGCTCCTGTAAAGTAGCTTTCTACTATGTATACATGTTAATACTGATGCTTTGTGTCATCTGTTTCAGATATCTCGTTGGTTCTAAGTAAAATCCTGTCCCACTGTCTACTGGATATCCCATCCTGCATATTGTACTAACTTATTCTGTGTAATGTACCCTGAGTCCCAGTGAGAAAGGTACACTACAAATAACATAAATAAATACATGTGTATACCTGCAGCCCTAGACAGAGTTAGGTTCGCTTAAGCACATTAATTTCAGAAGGCTTAAGAATGTCTGCCTCCATACGGAATAATGCATATAGTTTATTATCCTCATTTTCTTACACCACCACCACAAGGAAAACTATTCTTTGTTTACAGATATGGGAGAAGAACTCAAACTGAGACAGAATCTTGTTCAACAATATTCAATGATTTGGGATTTGATTCCAAGTTATTTGTCTATAGGTGACCTCAGCTGGCCTATGCCAGTTTACTTTAGCGTATGTAAGCTGCAACAAACACAACTAAATACCTGCCCACACAAGCCTGGCTGGAGAAACTGATTTTCTGCAGCAATGTGTCACCCACTTTTATAAGGATTTCAGTAGCCCACAGGACCCTAAAGCTGTATTACAGATAATGAATTTAATCAGGGAAAGGAGAACATGGTTTTGGAAGGAGTAAGAATACGGATGGTGTGGAACAAAGACTGCTGAGAGAGATCAAGGTGGGCAGTTGTGTTGGTCTGAAGCAACAGAACAAAGTTAAGAGTCCAATGGCACCTTTAAGACCAACAAAGTTTTATTCAAGACGTGAGCTGTGTGCATGTACACTTCATCAGGCGATGAAATCGAATTACATATCATAGTTTGGGCATTGGCCCCATCTGTATGCTGCCCTGAGCCCGTTCGCGGGGAGGGCGGGTTATAAATTTAAATACATAAATAAATAGTGGTGTATATAGGTGGCTTGTTAAATTAGCATGCAAAATAGTGAGAATGACAAGATGGTTTCTGGTTATAATCTATTTCAGTTCAACTGGGGGGGGGGAACATCACCTCTATGCTAGAAAGGAGATGGATGGGGGTCTAAAGACGGGATTTTCACAAATTAGGACACATCTCCAGTTCTAACATATTTATTACCTATGTTGTCTTTCCCACCCAGTTGAACCGAAACAGATTACAACCAGAAACCAGCTTGTCATTCTTTTGATGTTAAAAAAATTATTTTCCCTATTTTGCATGCTAATTTAACAAGCCACCTATATATACAACCGGGGTCATTTCCTGCAGGAGCGCACAGGAGCGGAGCTCCGGCAGTAAAGAGCCCAGGGGGCGGGCACATGCAACAAGCCCCGCCCCCTGCTCCCAGCAGCCCTCAGTCAGAGCAAGAAGCAGCCAGGTAAGTTGCAGAGCTCCCCCCGCCCCCCTGGTCCACAACAGTCCAGTGGCACCTTTAAGACCAAGTTTTATTCAGGCACAAGCTCTCCCTCCTCTGCGAGGGCAGATCTGCACGTCCCCCCCTCCCCCCAATAGCTAGCAATCCAAAACAGTCCAGTGGAGCCTGAGCGGTGGGTGTTGCCTTCTGACACACTTCCGGTGATGTCAGGGGGTGTGGCATATGCAAATGAGTTATGCTAATGAGTTATGCTGATGAGCTCCTGCACCTCTTTTTCTACAAAATGACCCCTGTACAACTATGATATGTAATTCCATTTCATTGTCTGACGAAGTGTGCATGCATACGGAAGCGCACATCTTGAATAAAACTTTGTTGGTCTTAAAGGTGCCATTGGACTCTAACTTTGCTGAGAGAGAGATCATCTTTAGTACATGAGAGGTAGGAGGTAAAGAAACTGGTATAGCAAGTGACAACACTGGATACGTCCACCATCACTGGCATCTAGGCTGGAGGCACTTCCCCTGAATTTTCAGCTTGCTTGCTTTTAATAAACATTTGTGTTGCCAATAAACTCAGTTACCGAGTAAGTGGTAAGCCTTCTCTTGGCTTCTAACAAGAAGGGCAAAGGCATTAAGATGACTGGTACTTAAAATATTTTAAAACAAACTACCTATAACTGCATTAGCCAAATGTCATAGTATGTTAAATATAAGTTATTTCTATTTAGATTTCTGCTGTCTCATATTGATTAATGCTGTCTCCCCCTCCCACCCCGTCCACGTACCATTTGACCTACCAATAACATCAAATGCCAGGCTGAGACTCTGTCAGGCATATCAAAGCACAATGGATATGCCTGAAGGTAAAAGAAATGGGGCTAGAGGTAGAGATGTTTTATGAACAGATGCACAAAAGAATGAAATGCCAGAAAACGGAGGCAAAAGTTTTAAATTGCAAGAAGGACAGAGAATTGTGACTCAATGACAGTAGTCCACATCACAGTGGGGAAAAAATCCAAGTGAACAGCCATATAACAAAGACAATGCCAAGGGGATGGACTTGATGCCAGACTAATTCCAGAAACAGTGAGCAGGCACTGCAGCAAGACAAAAGATAGGTGCCCCTTAGATAGACTTCAGCAGAGATTAGTACAGTGAATTTGTGCAGCAAAGGAAGAAGAGTAGCTAGGAGCAGGGGGGAGTGGAGTGACAGAAAGAATGGAAGATAAGGTTTGGGGGCAACTACCATAGAACAGGGTCAGGTGTGATACAGGGTACATAAATGCCAGAGAGCAAGACAAGCTACAGGAAACTGGAAGCCATGTGAAGAGAAAAATGGAGAGGTGCCAGGGAACATGGAGAAATGGGGGTTTGGGATTTGATGGTGGTTATGTCAGGGCCAAAGCCAGTCTCTGTGGGACTAGAGCAAGAAAACAGGTTGTGATGCAGAAAAAAAGGGGGAAGCGAAAGCCATGAGAAAAGAGACTCAATGTCAGTTTGGGGGAGAGATGGATAATTTGAAGAATGAGTGAAAGATGGATTTAAAAAAAATAATCAGTGTTTAGGGGCATCTGGAGAGGCAGCATACGTGATTCTTTAAAATAAGCCCCGAGGCACAGGGGCAAGGCAAATAATACCAGGAAGGAAAGGATATGGTTAAAGGTGCGCGTGTCTGTCTGTGGCCACGCAACGCTGATAAACATGCCTACATTTGTTTATTTTCCTCCCTTACCCCTTTCATTAAGACGTGTGGCGCTTATTAGATTTGCAAACCGTTCTGACGGGGGGGGTTCCTCACTTATTTCCTTGTATAGCACCGAGTTGAATTTCGAGCAGATAACACTACAGGCTTAAGAAATAACAATAGTTCCGCACAGGCAAGGGACGGGGCAGCAGATGCCAGGCAGTGGGGAAAGGAGGCTTTCGCGCAGGAGGAGGAAGAATAGGAAGAGAGAGGCAGGTAGGCAAAGCTAAGGACGATAAAGGCAGCCCGTGCGGGGAGGCTCTAGGGAGAGAATAAGCATGGAAGGGGGGGGGGGGGGGGGGCCACCTACGGATGCAATGGAAAGCGGGGAGGAGGAGGAGGGGGGGAGGATGGAATCCCCAGAAACGGGGCGGGGCAGGTGCCAGGAGGGGGCGGGGCTTGCCTGTTTGGATCCGTCTACCCGCCCCCATTTTAAACCCCAACCCTCCAGCCACCTCTTATTCCCCGTTACCTGTTTTTGGTGGGGCCCTCCCCTTTTCCGGGCCCGGCAGTAAGGTGTGTGTGTCTCTCTACCTATATCTACGTGGGGAGGCCGAGGCTTTTTCCGTGTTTCCCCCAAGCCGGGCCGGAGGCCGCCTCCGCCACAGCCCTCCCCTATCTCGGCCCAGGTCTGGGCCTCTGCTGGGCCATGGCGGCCGCCGTCGCCACCACAGCCGTCGCCTCTTCTGGGCTCGCGCCGCGGGCGAAAAAAAAAAGGGGGGGGGGGGAAAGGAGGAGGGAAGTGGCAGAGGCCCGCGCGCCCGTACGCAGGCGCTCTGAGGAGGAGAAGGGGTGGGGGGGAGAAAAAGGGAGGCGGTGCGGGGCCACTCACGCGCTGACTGGCTGGCGCGCGGGGCCCAGGCACTCAAGCTGCCCGCTCCCCCCCCCCTCCTCTCACTCCAGCCAGCCCAGCCTAGCCGGGCACTTTGTTTGTGTCCCACAATGCAACGCGGCGGCGGCGGCGGCAACTGCTATGAAGGGAGAGAGGGAAGGAGGGGGGATTCGGAGTGAGAATGAAGGGGGCGGGGCCGCGTTCTGGGCAGGTGGGCGGGCACAGTCAGAAGGGTGGGAGGGATGAGCGGGCGTTGGGCGCGCGCGCTGCCTTGGCTGAGGCGCGCGGCGGGCGCCGCCGATCCTGAGGGAAAGTGTCGACTTTGGGATGTTTATCCCTCCCCACACGCACGGTGACACTCACAGAGTTCCTCTCCCCATGTAAAAAAAATAAAGCTGCGTGAAATCGGGATCCCCATACCCTTTAAATAAACAAACATATAAACTGGGAACATAAACCTCCGTTGAATTGTGTGGGACTCCTTCCCCGCCTCGACGCGCACCTCAGGACGAGCAATCCTGTCCTTCCTTTTAGTACATCCCGTCGCTTCTCGTGTCAGCAGGAGGACGAACTTCGTCTCGGCGCAGGGAAATGTTAAGAGGCAGAGATGACGAGAGAGGGAATTCTTAAGGACATTTTTCGGGGGTGGGTGGGGGGAATGTACCAAGCAAGTGGGCGAACCCGGCTTTGCACCTGTCAAGGATCCCATAAACAGATTTATAAACTTACGATGAGGTTCGCTGATTTCTGTTCTTGCCTTTATAGGCTGATGAAAGTGCTGAAGGTGGGGCAGGGTATAAATTTGATAAATAAATAAACCCCTCCTCCAATAATATAAAAGCATGCACAAATTCCATTTGATAACATCAAAAACACATATGTGTGTGTGTGAGAGAGAGAGAGAGAAAAGTGCCATCAAGTCCTAGGGATGCCAGCCTCCAGGTGGGACCTGGGGATCCCCCAGTATTACAGCTTGTCTCCAGGCTCCAGAGATCAGTTCCCCTGGAGAAAATGGATGCTTTGTAGGGGAGACTCTATGGCATTGTACCCCACTGTGTTCCATATCCCCCCCCCCAGACTTAACCCCCAAATCCCCAGGGGTTTCCCAACCTGGAACTGGCAGCCCTTCCCACCCCATCCCCCGCTGGTGGGCAGAGAGGACCAGGCAACCCTACTTCTGACTTATAGCGACCCTATGAATTCATATCCTCCAAAACGTCCTCTCGTTTACAGCCTTGCTCAGGTCTTGCAAACTGAGGGCTGTGGCTTCCTCGACTGAGTCAATCCATCTCATGTTGGGTCTTCCCCTTTCCCCACTTTTCCTAGCATTATTGTCTTTTCCAGTGAGTCTTGTCTTCTCATAATGAGACCAAAGTACGATAGACTCAGTTCAGACGTTTTAACTTCAAGGGAGAGTTCAGGCTTGATTTGGTGTAGAAACCCCTTATCTTTTTGGCAGTCCACGGTATCTGAACACCCTCCTCCAACGCCACATTTCCAGTGAATCAACATTCTTCCTGTCAATGTTCTTCATTGTCCAGCTTTCACGCCCATACATAGTAATGGGAGATAACATGGTATGAATTAACTTGATCTTGGTCACCAGTCGCACATCCTTATGCATAAAAATCTTTTCTGTCTCTTTCATGGCTGCCCTTCTCAGTCTCCTTCTGATTTCTTTGCCAGTTTGGTGTAGTGATTAAGTGTGTGGACTCTAATCTGGGAGAACCGGGTTTGATTCCCCACTCCTCCACTTGCACCTGCTGATGTGACCTTGGGTCAGTCACAAGCTCTGGCACAGCTGTCCTTGAAAAAGAGCAGTTTGTGTCAGAGTTCTCTCAGCCCCACCCACCTCACAGGGTGTCTGTTGTGGGAAGGGGAAGGGAAAGGAGTTTGTAAGCCGCTCTGAGACTCCAAGTGAAGGGCGGGGTATAAATCCAATCTCTTCTTCTTCTTCTTGGCTGCAGTCTCTCTTTTGGTTGACGATGGAGACAAGGAATAGAATGTCTTGAACAATTTCAATTTCTTTCATAGTCAACCTTAAAGTTGCATAATTCCCCAGCAGTCACTACTTCTGTGATGTCAGCTGCATATCTCAAAGATGCAAACATCTACTTTGTTGCTGCTGCTGTTTTTTAAAACACCCACCGCTTAATGGAATGGTACAGATGACCAGGCTGACCCTTGGGCAGTTTTTGTTGCATGTGCTTGCCATAGACAATAGAAAACTAGTTTGGTGCTAGCATATTTATGCGTTCCACACAACAGGAGCAAACTGGGAACAGAAAACAGCCTTGGAGCAAGCTAAACTGAGCAGAGGTCATTTCGGGGGGGATCGTGGGGGATCGCGGGGGATCGCAGTTTCCCCGGGTGAGGTATGGGGGCGGGGCACATGACAAAGCCCCGCCCCCGCTTCCGTCCGCCCCGCTTCCGTCCCTCATTCAGCCAGGAGGAGGCAGGAGAAGAGGGATGCGGGTCCACCGCGGGACCCCTCATGGGGCTCGGCAGTGGAGCTGCAAGGCCGGCGGCGGCCAGGACCGTTGGGGGCGGGGTGTGTGGCCTTATGACCCACTTCCGGCGATGTCAGGGTGTGTGGCATATGCTAATGAGTTATGCTAATGAGTCCCCTTAGCTCTTTTTCTACGAAACGACCCCTGAAACTGAGTGTCCCCTGTGGCCCTCCAAGTCAGTACTGCAGGGGCCACTCAGCTGCCACAAGAGATGAAGCCTACCACAGAATGTCGGGGAGGGCTTATGTATAACTCTAACTCTTCAACTTCTCAGGCAGAAGCTCTGCTTAGCAGGCTCCCTTTTAAAACGAACACACTGTTTTAAAATATTTTCTTGTGTATACACACAGCTTAGCTTTAGTCACTCACTTGTGCTGTGGTGGCAGAGCAGCTCCCAAAGCAACGTTTTAAAAACCTGCTCAGCCAATCGGAAGCTGGCCCTGCCCACTTTCTAAAAACCCTTGGCGGGCACTAGGAAAGGGGTCAGCGGGTGCCACGGCACCCACAGGCATAATGTTGAGGACTCCTGATGTAAAGCGTGGCAGCTGTCTCTGAACCCAAAGCGTCCACTTAGCCATTGTGGCTAATATCCATTGATAAACCCATCCTCCATTAATTTGTCTAATCCCTGTTTAAAGCTGTCTAAGCCGGCAGCCATTACAGTATTTCAGAACAATGAATTCAATAAGTTAATAATGTAATTGCGGCAATCTCTTGTGTAAATGAAGTAACAGCTATACAGCAATTTGTATGCTGAAAATAAAAGGTCAATAAGAACACTTACCTAAGCCTCGCTTCCTTACTTTTTCTTTGTTTGCTTTGTTCTCTCCAATAGTATCCCTGGCTTTTTAAATTCTTTCAGGTTTCTTCCATCTTTCTGTTACTACTATCAATTTGCCACCATGTCTCTTTCTGCTTCCCCGTATTTCAGAATGGATTCAGAAGAGGTAGTTGTGGTCCTCACTGAGCTTGACACCCTTTAAATGCCCTAACCTGCCACTGGCCATCCTATCTATGCCAAATCCCACAACTTTAAAATGTTTGTACTCTTGCCATTCTTAAACCGGTGTCTCCTAGTTATCATAATCCAACCCTATTATGACCAACGGCTTCAGAATGTTCATTCTGTGCTGAAGAGAGTCATCAGACCAGAGTCTTCTATTTGCTGATGAATAAGCCACAAAGAAGAAATTAAAGGTCTTCATGCACTACTTCACTGATCAATCCCACTGTGCTAATTCCAACAAATAGTCATTAACAATTTCAAGAAGATCAAGAGATAGTTATTCTGGGGAAGAACATGAAAATAATGTTGCTCAAGGTTAAGGCTGGACATCATTTGACCAGTTAAAATTATGTAGTAGCCAATTGACTGGTCATCTGTCAGTATATATCACTGGCTGCTTATTTGTTTCCCGGCCCAGTTTAAGATTATAGATGTAGGTTCTGTTGATGTGTTCAATGATGACCAATTTTTAATGAGTTTAATAGTTTATTATAATGAACAGTAGGTGTTACTGTTACCTGCCTTGGGTATTGACTAAGTTTGGAGAAAGGTATATAAATATCCCCAGACAAACAAATATATGACCAGTCCATGGATCAACTCTATTCAAGGCTCTTTGCTGAGGAAAGATTTCATATGCCCTTCCACCCTACACTGGCCTTCACACTGGTCTAAATTGTTGGTCTTTAAATGGAAGCTCTAAACCAGGTGTGTCAAACATGCGGCCCGGGGGCCAGATAAGGCCCCCGGAGGGCTTCTATCAGGCCCGCAGGGGAACTGGCTGTCTTCTGCTTCTTCTTCCAGTTCTGCTGCTGCTGCGTCATCGTAGGTCTGCAGCTTACAGATACACACCTGAACAGCATACTCAAGATTGCAACAGCACAGACATTTTGATGTAATAATTCAGAGCAAGAGGTGTCAGTTATCAGCAGTGTTCCCTCTAAGCTGAGTTAGTGTGAGCTAGCTCACAGTTTTTTAGCCTCTGGTTCACACATTTTTGTCTTAGCTCAAGAAGGATTTATTTATTTATTTATTTATTTTATTCGATTTATACCCCGCCCTCCCCGCAATGCAGGCTCAGGGCGGCTTACATAAGGGCATACGCCAATATAAAAACATATTTAAAACCATTTAAAATCCATATAATACAAAACATTCATAATAAGTTATTAACTAACTAACTAAAGTGCTCTCGATGTTCACAGATGGCATACTTCACACTGTTCAGCAGTTCTGCTCCGGGGGCGCTGACATTCCCTCATCCAGGGCCAGGGTAAGATGGAACAAGATGGTAATGATGGTAGTGATGGTAGTGGCGGCCCCTACTCATATGCCTGGTGGAAGAGCTCCGTCTTACAGGCCCTGCGGAACTGTACAAGGTCCCGCAGGGCCCGGATCTCCTCTGGGAGCTCATTTCACCAGGTAGGAGCCGCCACCGAGAAAGCCCTGGCCCTGGTAGCGATCAGCCTGACCTCTTTAGGGCCTGGCATTGCCAGGAGATGTTGC